TGGCGCACTATGGCTGCCGTCACATCATCCAAGTGGGGGCTGCACATTGGTGGTGGAGGGGAGTCCCCATGACCTGTAAAGCGCTTTGAGTGGGGTGTCCAGAAAAGTGCTATATAAGTGTAAGCAATTTTTATTATTATTACACATGTAAATGAGGAGCCCAGCCCTGGCAACACTGACAGGCAATCGCCAGGATGCCGAACAGAGCAGCTTGCAGTCAAGGTACTTAGAGAACCTGCAGGGGGCAGGAGTGCATCTCTAGACAGGACAGGCCCACAGCTGAAGTATTTTAAGGTCTGAGGAGCATCTCTGATTGGGGAGGGTTGGAAGATGAACAAGTACAATAGAGAACTCGGCTCGTCCATTGGTATAAACGCTGTTTCTTCTCCAACTTTCTTTTGCAGAATAAGTTCCAGGATTATGAGAAGAGAAAGGTAAGATTGCCCTTTTAGTTCCTTGTTCTTGTACAGTTTTCCTGCTGGCCTCCTCCATGTCCCGGATACAGATGAGAGGAGGACATCTCTAACCCTAGCGCTCTGTAGAGCTATAGCAAGCAATCTTCTTGGAACTTCCCCTCTGGAAAGGGACAATTTACAGCAGCTGATCCAGCGTGTCTTTGTCAGTTTGGGAGCTCCTGGCCCTTACCCTTGTGAGCTCAGGATCAGCATGCAGACTCCACACAGACGGGCCGCCAATCTCTCTCGCTCTGTGTGTTCGTCAGTTAGTCAGTTCCCATGTGTATCTCAGTGGACAGGGGCATGAAGGTAGGGGGGTGTTCGTCTGTCACCCTCAGAGCCTTCTGCCCCCGTCTAACCCTGTGTGTCAATCTCCTTCCCCTTTTCTCCAGTCCCAATTCTGTTTCGAATGTGCTCTCGTGGATGCACATTTCCGAAATCTATGTTGGACATCGTAAAAAAAGGGACGCATTCGAAAACTAGACGAATGGGAACTTAATTGGGACGTGACTTGCCAGCCTCTTCCGTTCCCCTTCCCCGTGAGCCCGGCGTGATCGCCGTGTCCGCGAGCTGCTTCCTCGGGGCAGCCCCCCCTCCCCCTGACCCTGCCCCGCCGTGTCTCTCTCTCTCAGGAGCGGAAGCAGATGGAGAAGCTGGAGTTCGAACGCCGACTGGAGGAGGAGCAGCGGGAACAGACCGAGCTGGTGCTGCAGAACAGCTCCCGCAAGGAGGACATGCTGCAGTCGGTCAGACAGGTGACGAGCAGCGGATGTCGGGGTCGGATCGGGCCTTATTTGCAAAACCACTGATGGTTATGATGCCCCCTGGAGCCATCTTGGTGAACTGGCCTATAACTCACTACTGGCAGCCCCACTGGAGCTCAGCAGGTGTGAGCCTGGCCAGTACCTGGATGGGAGACCTCCTGGGAAAAAACTAAGGCTGCTGCTGGAAGAGGTGTTAGTGGGGCCAGTAGGGGGCACTCGCCCTGCGGTTTGTGTGGTTCCTAATGCCCCAGTATAGTGATGGGGACACTATACTGTAAAAAGGCGCCATCCTTCAGATGAAACTTAAAACCGAGGTCCTGACTCTCTGTGGTCATTAAAAATCCCAGAAAATGACATTTCTCAAAAAGAGTAGGGGTGTTACCCCGGTGTCCTGGCCAAATTTCCCATTAGCCCTTACCGATCATGGCCTCCTAATAATCCCCCTCTCTGAACTGGCTCCATCACTCTGCTCTCCTCCCCACTGAGAGCTGGTGTGTGGGGAGCAGACTGGTGCATCATCCAGGTGGGGCTGCACACTGGTGGTGGTAGTGGGATTCCCCAGGACCTGTAAAGCGCTTTGAGTGGAGAGTCCAGAAAAGCGCTATATAAGTGTAAGGGATTATTATTATAATTATTATGAATCTGAACCCACAGGAGCAGCAGCGGCTGGAACAGGGGCTCTGGCACCAGCAGAAGGCTCTGGAAGTGGACCGGCAGCGCCTGCTGGCGCAGGTGAGACTGGCTGAGTCGAGCGTCACCGGGCGCATCACCAGGCTGCTGCTGGAGAACAAGAGGTGAGCGGCGCGGGGGGGCGGTGGTGGTGGTGGGTGGGGTGCGCTCGGCCCACGCTGCAGAGGAACGATGATGCTCTTCCACTCAAACTGGGGTCTCCATCCCTGGTGCTTGAGAGCCTCGTTTGGCCTGGTGTTAGATTAGCAGTCCCTAAAGGCCTGAGGAAATGAATGACAGCCGATGGCGGCCGACATGTTCCATTAAGCGATTTAGAGATCGTCTGGATCAAAACTCTGAATATCCTGCAGCTCTCGTGGATCAGTGCTCCCTTCATTGAAATATTGAGCTAGCCCTTAAGTAACCGACTCCTAAAGTCCACAGGAAATTAAACCCCGGCCGATTACAGGCAGCATGTTCGATTGGGCAGTTTAGAGAATATTACTGTTTTACAGTTGCTTAAATGAGTGTTCTTAATCAAGGCTGGGGTGCCCTGTGTGAACCTCCAGGACTAGGGTCCTGCAATTAAAGGTCAGCTTTTTGGTCTGGATATTGGAGACATGGCTCAATCCCCCGGACGCGTGCCACTTCCTGTGTTTCAGGCAGAGGAAGAGCGCGGAGTTTCTGCAGGCCCTGGAGGAAGACCGGTGAGTGATGGTCTCTCACTTCGCCGCTTCGGGTGGCGGCCAAGGAAGTGGATCAAAAATGACAGGAAGGGGTCGGCTGGTTACCTGCTCTGCTTGATTGACACCGGCTTTTCACCGGCTTTGGCAGGATGCGCGTGGAGCGCCTGATGGCCATCACGCAGGAAGAGGCGGAGTCTCTGCGCAGGAAGGAAGTGGCAGGTGAGAGGGGGGGGAGGGGGAATGCAGGAGCAGGATTCTGATATGGAATGTGGCGTGCTTGGTATTGGGACGGCGAAGCTGCTTGACTTGAATTGAGCTGCTGCTCCCAGACGACCAGCGATCTCTCTCCTGCGCTTCACCAAGTCGATGTAACCTAAATCCCGCACGGATGATTCTGTTGGCATGATATCGTTCTTATCTCAAGCGTGGCCAGAGCAGAGTCCATACTCTGTGGATGCATGCGTGATGTGCACGTCCTTGGAAAATGATGAACGGAAAATGCAAGCCGCTGTCTCCTCCCCTTCCCCATCTGTCCAGCGGCCATGCAGAAGATGCTGTCGGAGAGCTGCTCCCTCAGGATGATCCAGGAAGTGTGCGAGGCTCGCCGGAGGACGCTGGTGTCCGAGACCTGCAGCAGGTGAGAAGGAAGGATTCGGGGAATGGGGGTTGGGCGAATTTCACAACGGATCCGTTGGAACCCTGGGATCGATCCGGGAGAGGCGAACCACAAGCGGGGACTGGAGTGCCCAGGGGCCTCGGGGGACGTGGATTGCGATAATTAAGAGCGCAGGAGCCCGCCGGAGGGGAGGTCTGTGACTCAGCGATTCCTTCCTCTCTTGCTCTGCAGCCTGGAGTCCCTGGACAGGAAGTTCGAACAGGTGCTGTCACTCCAGCAGCTGGACAAAAACAGAGCCATCAGCCACATCCTGCAGGAGGTAAGCTCCCCGTCCCTGCCAGCATCTAAACCAGGCCACTCACTCGCCCTCCTCCTCAGCGGGCATGCTGAAGCTAGCACTCGGATGTCCTGCTATGTGGTGGGTTTAATGTCCCACAACATAGGATTCATAGAGATTACAGAACATATTCCATTTCAGCAGCTGTAGGGGCACCCCAACTGGCTGTCACCACCCCTTGCTTCACGTGGGGTGATTGCTACCCTGCAAACTGCCTCCAAACCATCAACCAGATGGAGGGCTGCACACTGGTGGTGGTAGTGGGATTCCCCATTACCTGTAAAGCGCTTTGAGTGGAGTGCCCAGAAAATCACTATATAAGTTATCATGAATTATTATTATTGTTTTTGTTATGAAACCTGAAGTTTTAACAGTTTCCACAGAGGCATCATAGCTATAAAATTATATACCTTACCTATATACCTAAAGTACACATACATGACTTGTTTACCATAATGACTGCAAAGGCAACATAACTGAAGGTAGGTAAAAGAGTGCATATTTGGTAATCTTCCAGACTCTCTGACCTCCATTCTCAAATGATATCATACCCAAGAGTGCTTGCTCCTGCTGTCTGTCTGGGTCACAGTGCTTCTTAATTCTTTCTCTTGTAAGTCACGGATTCGTACCTCGCAGCCCAAATTTACACCCGTTTGTTGTCCGTGTTCCCCTTGGGTCTGGGAAACAGCTGCTACAGGTACTGAAGACGTGCGAACGTTAATATGGGATGACCGCCTTTCTGTTTGTGTGCAAACTTTCCAACTAACTGGTCTGCTCTGTCTCCCAAGATGAGCTCAAAGCATACCACACCTCTCCGATGACTCTTCGATGGCAGCTGTAGTTTAGCTACGCCAGTACACAAATGCTGCACATCTAAATCCAAAGGAAAACCTGTCCCTGTGTTTATATACGCTGGTTGCTAAGTTAGGACAGGTGTTGTCACAGTAAGCACTTCCAACTCCTCCGAGAGGAAAAGGAGAGAACCTGCTTTTTCCAGCCAGGACAGCCAACGCAGGACACACAGGTCACCCGCCTGTTGATCTCGCAGGGGCAGGCCGTTTCCGTGCTGTGAAAATGCGCTCTTTGTCTCCCCTCGCAGGAGGAGATGCAGAAGGCAGCGTTTGAGACACTGCAGCTTCAGAAGGACAGCATGCACTGCTTCCTGCGGAATCAGGTGGGCGTGGTCACACACCGGCTCCCAATCGCACGCGAGGTGCAGGTGGAGTTTTGCTACCCTCCTCCCACAATACACCTTACCCCCCAATAGGAGCGAAGGGGTGGGGTCAAAGAGCATTCCCATATGCGTCTCCAACAGTATTTAACGTCACATGCAAGATAGTGTTGAGCGACGGGAATCAACATTTGACATGAAAAAGACGGCGTTCCTTTTTAGCAGTACGGATTTGGCCAACCCTGTGTCTAATTAGAAACGTTCTACATCAATGTACTCTATATTTACATTTGGCATCCTAGATGTTCAATTTTCAGTATCCCCTACTCCAGTCTTCTACATTCAATCTGTGAGCATAACAGTCACTGTAATCACAATCTTTACAGTTGAGTTCTGGGGGCTGTGTGTAACTAACAGCAGCCCATAAGCACATTTACACTGTTAGGAAGGGTGAAAGTCTCACCTGTATGGTGGATTTTGGAAGCTGTCGGATGTTGGATGGGGCTGTGACTTGAGCGTACCGAAACTCATGAACCATGCTCATCCTCGGTCTTCTGCTAAGAGCGGCATCCTGACGAGTCTCTCGCCTCCAGCCATCATTCACTGACGTTTTCGGTTTCGTTGTTGAGTGTCCCCGCTTTGTGAACCGACACATTTTTTTTTGCATTCCATCCGCTCCCCAGTCAGCCAATCCCCCCTGTCCCTTTCTTCCGATGAGCTTCCTCTGTGGCCAGGAAGAGATATCCCGGGTGCTGTGTACTGTAGAAACTGTAGACACAGGGTCTTGATTGTGCATTTCCCCTGGGGCCAATGTTCCCCTGCTGGTCACAGTGCAGCGTAACACTGTGAAACGTTGCCCCCTATTGGCCATGATGTGTTACTGCAAGAAAAACACCAACCCTGTTCTTAGGTGTGCAGTTCCTGTTCAATACATAATCAATTAATTGGATTCTAAACGAGGATGCATACAATAAAATAGTTTATATTGTTGTATTTGGTTTGTAGCTTTAAGTTTTCACAGTAGTTAGGGGCTTGCTTTTTATATAGATCACAGAACAATTGTGCTTTAGATTTAAAAAACAAAACAAAACCAGAATTTAATGGCTAAAAGAAAGAAAAATACCTTTTTTTCTGGTATTTAACTGAGTGAAACTGATATTAAAAATCTGCTGTGACAGCACACCCCAATGTCAGTGCTTACAGTTCACACACTGTATTTTCATGTTTCTAGATTAGGTTAATAGAAGCTGAGTTAATGCAGTTGACAAAGCTGGAGGTTAAGAGGCGAGATCTGGACACTGAGAATATGCAGGTACGTTCTTGACCAATAACAGAAATTGTTGCCGGGCAGAGGACTAGGGGCAGAAGTAGTGCGCATGACTGACAGCTAAGAGCACGAATCAGAAGACTAGAGCTTTTCCGCAGTTCTGCCCAGGCAGCACATGCTACTTCCTGTACCCAGAGTGCTCCGTGTTCTCTGGGATCGGCGAGAAGCAGGAGTAGTGCCAGGAGGAATTGTCAGTTCTGGCCTAGGGAATTCAGGGAATGGGAGCTGGACTCACAAAGGCCAAGGCATGTATTCCCATCTAGAACTGTCATTGCTTGTTTAATTTTGACTTCTGAACATGAAACAGTTGCCACGTGTTCTGACTCATGACTTTTAGTTACTTTTTAACAACGACTTTGATGTAAAGAAGCCTTTCAGAGTTAAGAGCACTGGCTGTAAAATATGAAAAAGACAGTGTAAAAGTAATGGATGGGTATTCCTA